CCAGCACCTAAGGGGCTCACAGGAGTGCTGGGGAGGGACCTGGGGCAAGGGGCTGCAGTGACAGGACACGGGCAATGGCTTCCCACTGCCAGAGGGCACCATTAGACGGGATATTGGGAAGGAATCCCTGGCTGTGAGGGTGCTGAGGCCCTGGCACAGGCTGCTGTCTCAGTTTAAGGAGACTGAAATGTTTTGCTAAGGAGGATGAGTTATGAGGCAGACCAAACTCCTCTCTCTCAGCATTTATAAATCCAAAACTGAGAGGCTCCAATCGAGGAAGTATGGAAAAAGAAAAAAATAACAACCCTCTATTAAAGGGCATATGTGTATTGGCAGAACAACAAAAGAACACAAAAAACCCAACTAAACAATAATCCTGTCCCCAAAAGTCCCCTTCAAAGAGGAAACAACTCGATACTTCCCGTCCTCGGGCGCAATTCCAATCACTTTTGGCAGAGAGCGACGCTGGGCTCTGGAGGGGCAGAGCCTGCAGTGCTCGGGGTGGGTCAGCAGGAGGTGCTGGTGGGTCCCGGGAGGGGCAGAGCCTGCAGTTGGTCTGTCCTGTCAGCAGGAGGTGCTGTTGGATCACTGGAAAAGCAGAGCTGCAGTGCTGGGGTGGGTCAGCAGGAGGTGCTGTTGGATCACTGATGGCACAGAGCCTGCAGTTGGTCTGGGTTGGTCACTGTTGGATCACTGTTGGATCACGGGAGGTGCAGAGCCTGCAGTTGGTCTGTGTTGGTCACTGTTGGATCAGTGTTGGATCACGGGAGGAGCAGAGCCTGCAGTTGGTCTGTGTTGGTCACTGTTGGTCACTGTTGGATCACGGGAGGTGCAGAGCCTGCAGTTGGTCGTGTTGGTCACTGTTGGATCAGTGTTGGATCACGGGAGGAGCAGAGCCTGCAGTTGGTCACTGTTGGTCACTGTCGGTCACTGTTGGTCACTGTTGGATCACGGGAGGAGCAGAGCCTGCAGTTGGTCTGTGTTGGTCACTGTTGGAGGCTCTGCTGGCTCACTAGAAAAGCAGAGCCTGCAGTTGCTCGGTGTTGTCAGCAGGAGGCACTGTTGGATCACTGTTGGATCACTGTTGGAGCACTGTTGGATCACTGTCGGCTCACTGGAGGAGCAGAGCCTGCAGTGCTCGGTGTTGGGAGAAAACTCATCCCCGCTCCCCCCCAGACCCCAGCCTCAGAGAGGGCCATCAGCCTGGCACGCAGTTCTGCCAGCCAGCTCTTTTGTGTGGGTCAATCACCCAAGGCAAAAACTGCCCTCCCCCATTCAACATCTTTCTTTTACAGTGGGGCAGGGGAAAGAAAATTCCTATTTGGTGTTTTTATAAAAAGTAAACCTATAACACCACCCAAATCATTCTGGGATTCCCTGGTTCTAACATAGGAACTTCCCAGTTATCCCTGGCCAGTTAACAAGTGCTACAGACACTTGGGCTGCAGGTGAGTACAGAAAAGAAAAAGCCAGGCTCAGACGGTGCCAAGCTGGGCCTTACCCTGCCCATCCCTGGGTGCTGACTTTAGGCCCTGTGGGTGGTCAGGCCAGCTGTAGGGAGCTCCTCCAGTGCCCTCAGAATGGGCATTTCAGGAGCTGCTACCCAGGGCGAGTGGCAGGGACAAGGACAGGGAGCAGGTCCCTCAGCAGTGCCACCCTCAGCCCTGGGCACAGACCACATGGACCGTGAGGGTCCCCCAGCAGTGCCACCCTCAGCCCCAGGTACTGGGGACAGACAGAATTCAGGCCACTGAAGTCTCTTCAAGTTCTGAGACGAGGATTTAAAGCAGTTTTTTACTTGCAAATGCAAGAACTGACTGAAGTTGCTTATCCTCGTGTGCATCTGACCCCCACGCTGTGCCCTGTCCCACGGTTCAGGTGCAGCTCAGGGGGCACTAATGGGGCTGGGGGTGCTGCCCTCAAACCCACCCCAGGGCACCATCACATCCCAGTGTGCCCACTGTGCCTGCACAGGGAGCAGCTCCCTGGGGGACTGCTAAGGACGAGTTTTATCTGTTAGCCTTCTGCTTACATCAGAATTGCCTAAATTCTGCCCAGCGCTGTTTCGCTGGGAAGCAACAATGTCACGGATGGTGCACTGTCAGTCAGACCTCACTCCCTCCATCTGAAGACAATCTCCAGCCTGGATTCTCCGTGTGGGATGTGTCAGAGGGTGAACTGTTACGGGAAATGCCAAGATGGTCCAGGACTGATGTAATGAGCTCAATGATTGGGAAACGCAAATCGATTTTGTTTGCTGAGCCCCACAGAAATCAGAAGAGATCATGGCTTCCAGGTTAAAGACCTTTGCTCTACTTTCTGCTGCTCTGAGTTAATCTTTCTCCATCCAGCAGCTGGAGTGACCAGCACAGATAATCTTTAACCACTGGCCATCGACTGACAAGGGTCAGAGCGCTCCCCTGAGGGGATCTGAGCTGGCCCAGCACTCGTACCCCTCACCTGTGCCCATGAGACTGTGGTACAGCACTGGGAATGTGCTCCTTGAATGCTGCAGCAATCTGGGGTAAACTGACAAACACCAGCTTCTTCCACTCCCCTGTCCCCACTGACCCTACATGCACACCAGGATCCTCCTCTGTGTCATTTTGCTTTACACATAAAGTTCAGGTTATTCTGATTTTAGTGTAGGGGGGAAAAAAGAATGAGAAGTGATTCGGGTCCTGTAACAGAACCCTGACCTGGGAGTCTTAGCTTGCACTGACTGGTGAAACTGCCTGTGGAAATCTGAATAAATGGGGGGTGACAGCCCTTCAGAGAGACTTTCTAAATGGGCTTTGTTGAACATGCAATGTGTTCATGGCCAGAATTAACAAGCTCCAAAGGAGGTTCATTCTGTACCACTCCCAAATCTGTGCAGGTCTCTATCACCTGGAGACAAGAGTAAACCAATTCTCCTCGTGGAGCAGTGAGATGCTCACACACAAAATATTTCTAACCAAAGAATTTAATAATTAAGGTTTTGCAGAGCCAAACCATAGCTCCATCCTGTTTGTTAGATCTTCCCAGTGTGAAAAACTTCCTAACACAGCCCGATTTTTGCCCCTGTGGTGAGTTCTTCCTTCAGTTTTGGAGCTGATCTTTCACTGTTTCCACACAGAAAAGACATCATCCCTCAGATTTCTACTTAACTCACCATATCCTCCACATTTTGCATAAGAAAAATGAGAGGAAAGAACTTTTGTATGGATCAAATTGTGTCCTTTGTCTAGTGACACCTTACTCAGCAGGAGCTCTGCACATCAAATGGAATCCAAGAATAATTTAGGCTGGAAGAGAGCTTTGGCTGTCACAGGACTTGGCCCTCTGCTCTGAGCAGTGCCACCTTCAAAGTTAGACTGAACTGTAAAGTTCCATGGTTTTGCTGGTGATTATATCTCCATATTTCCAAGGCAGGAATCTGGCTCTGGGGTGCATGGGACACGTTGCATTATCTGTCCCTGTGTCACCTTCAGCAACATTTAAACAAACCTTTTCTTTTTTCCAGGAATTTCCAAATACTTTGGCATTTAATGTCAAAGAACTGGCCCCAAGGCAATCTGCAGCAGTGCTGGATGTTGCAATGCAGGTCCAGCCCCTCCCCAGGCTGTGTGTGTAGTGGCCAGTGCTTCACCTGCAACTGCAGAGCCCCATTTTGAGGAAACCTGGGTTTTTTTCCAGAAACACAACCCCAGAAACATCAAGTAAGTGGTGTTTCCTCTGTGATTAAAAGTATCACATTTTAGTGTTCCTATGCTGGTTTTGGACAACATGTGGTGTTTCGGGTTTGGTTTGGGGTTTTGGGTTTTTTTAATTTGAGGTCTTCTGCCCTCTTTCCTGATTAATTGTACAGGTAACTTTTAGACACATATTTTTCTTATTTTTCTACTATTAGGGCAGACTCCCAGTTAGTATGACTACTACTGCTACTCCTCCTCCTCCTCCACATAAACCTGTCATCTTTACACATCCCAAAAGAGGGACATTCCACCCCAACCCACACCACTGAAAGCAGCCCCTGCTCACGGAGGGGTTTCTGAGTACACCAAAGGCACAGGGTCACACCAAGGCTGAGCACCATCGAAAAGCCCAACTGTGGGGACTCACACAATGCTGCTGGGTGGACACATCCAGACCAAATCAGCAAAGTGGCCTGGTTCCTCACTTTTGTGAGGTATTGTATTGAAAACTTTACTTCTTAAAACCCCACACTTACTTCAGCCTGTTCTAAAATATTCTAATGTAACACAAGCATGGCAATGGAAGCAAGCAATGAAATACCCAGTTAACCATCAAAGGTTATAATTCTGAAGGTGTGACTTTAATTTGCTTTCAGGGAAGATCTCAGGTTCAAATCCCATATTAGCCTTCACAAAAAATATGGAATTCCTCAGGCCCTAAATGTGGAGGTTTGTGCAATGCTCTTGTGTACTATCTGGAGGAGGTCCTGGGAGGTGTGTGCAATTCCTGGGTTTGCCAGTTTGTTCAGACAGGCTCAGCTGGAGCCAGGCTCTTCCCCCCACCTCCCAGGTGTGCTGGACAGTAAAATCCTTTAGAAATGTCACAGGCTTTTTGACAGTTCTGAAGAATTCCTGTGCAGAGTAGACAGTACACCCAAATTAAAAAAAGAAAAAAGATGGCACTGTGACCTGAGGAACCCATCAAATCAGTCTCGCTGGCAGAAGTAAGCAATTAATATGCAGCCAGAGTAAACACTCTTCATCTCAGGGTTCAGCAAAACAGGCAGCTGAACCCCCTGTATTTTGCATTTTTCCCTCCCCACATGTGCTCTCTGTGAAGGAACAGAGAAAATCGAGGTCTCAGAGCTTTTTTTCCATGCCTTAGTCTGACTAAAGGTGACTGGCTCAGCGCAGCAAGGGCCATCTCCCTCCCCCAGATCAATATTTTAATATGGCTTATCAGAGCAAGAATGGGTTGTTTATTTAAGACCTCAGGATCCCATAAAGGGAGAGGGAAAGTTGTCCACTGGACCCAGAGGCTTGCAACAGCTGACCACTGCTGGGAACTCGGGAAAGAAAACCAAGACCCCAATGATCCCAATACGCTGACAGTCAGCAAAATGTCCTGCAAGAGAACCCCTGTCCTGCCAAGCCCTGTCAGCACTCCAGAGGATCCTTTGGCAGTTGTCTCTGATGGTAAGTGCCTTCTTGTGCTCCACTTGTGTGAGGAAAAGGAAATGCTAAAAGATATTAACCAACTAAACCAGTGCAGGTGGCTTTGAACACTGAGCATTTCAGCACAGCAAAATATCTGCACATGCCCAAGGCCCACCTGGGTAATTTAATAGGATTCAGTGTCTTGGACCCAGAGATCTCTGCCTGCACTCATTAGGGCAGCATAAGGCACCACAAGTGTTTATTGTTTGAAAAAAAGAGGTGGTGGGGAAGCTGACAGACTTCCCAGGGAAACAGGAATGCTTCAGGTCCGGACATATGGGAAGGAGAGGTTCTGTGATCCACCTCAAAGAACCCTCTTGAAAAGCCTCTTGTTCTTCATAATGATCCTCTCAATTGAAACATTCTAATAATGTTCTTTACACAGATGTCCAGCAAAAGAAAAGCAAAAAAAGGGATTATTTTTCTCCGATGACTACACTTTGCTTTCTCCCTGTACTGACCTGTAACTTTCCCATGGCTTTGGGGTTTTTCTTCCCTTGCAGTACTAAAAACTAGTGGCCATTTCTCTTTCTTCCATTACCTCTTGTCTTGGAAATATTCATGTTGAATTGCTGGAAGCTTCCATGTAGCTGTGGGACTATAAACTGCCTGCTTGCAGCTGCCCCAGCTGCCTGGCTTTCTCCTGCCATACACATTCTGCAGCCTAGAGCCCTTCTGCCAGGCTCTCCTGCTCTGCCCAGGATTGCCAGGCTTTTCCTCAGAGAGCTTCAGCAGAATAAAATCCTGTCTGACCTTCCCTCTCTGCTGCAGAGAGAAAGCTGGGTAAAATGTGTATGAGGAAAGAGGGAAAAACACTAATACTGAGATAAATTAGAAAGCTGGGTACAGCACCTCTGTCCTCCTGGCATTCAGTTCTCATTCCCAGCAGCTACAGCACAGGCACAGTTACCAAAAACAGCCCCGTGGGCCTCAGGGCTGCAGCTGCATCCTGAGAGAGTGTTCTGGACATGTCCAGGTGTTTGCCCTCATTAACTGCAAAGACTTGGTGCCATGTGATGCTCAGGGTGTGCTCCAAGGCCTCTCCTCCTTCCAGAGACATCTCCTTCATAGCTGGGATGGTACTGGAGCCTGAGCTGTGGATCTGCACATCTGCCTGTTCTCTGTGTGTGCAAACACTCAGCTCTGCCCCACTGCAGCACCACAGACTCCAAGCACAGACACATCAGCAGAACAGGACAAACTCTTAGAGAAGGGTCAGTCCTGCCCAAGCACTTCTAGGCCTGTTTCTGTGGCAGGGATGGCAATGCCAGCACTGCTGGAATAATCATGTTTGAGAAACCAAACAGTCTGGCCTGGTAACCAGGCACTGAAGGGCCATTTCTCTGCTGTTCTGTTCACCAGCCCAGGGCACTCAGGACCCAGCTCACACTGCCAGCTCATGGCACTGAGTTATCACAAACCCTTCCCTGAGGTTTGATCAGGCATAAATCAGGAGTTAAACTGATCCAGAGCCCTAAGGAGTTTGCACTGACCTTTCAACACTGGTTGAACTATATCATGATCATGAAAAAGATCCAGAAAAAACATAAAGTTGGATGAAAAGGTGAGGATTGGAGAGGAAACCCCTGTTACACCATGCAGAGTACACTGCTGGTTCAGGTGGCTCGGGTGTATCAGGTGGGCAGCAGCTTGACAGGGAGCATCAGTGTCTCCTTTCTGCTGGCACTTCCATGGTTGATGCTGTAGGACAGAGTGAGCTGACTGTCCCCACCCAATGACCTACAGAAACTCCTGGATTTGGGAGCCCTGTGCAGCCTGTACAAAATGAGATCAATAGGAAGCCTAAGCCAGGGGAGGAGTTCTCAGAAGATGAGCCTTTTGAGTGCTTTCACTTCCTTAACACTGTGTTGCTAAAACAGAACCAGACCCAGAAGACTATTGGAGAGTCTGGGTTTATCACATATGGGAGCAAATTCTCCCCAGGATGTAAAATTGGAATGCATTACTGAGTTAAAAGTAAATGAGAGGGACAGTTGAAAAGACATCCCAACCTCACCACCTGGCACAACAAGACAACTCCATCTCCTCGCAAGGGGCTTCCAACCAGTCCACACATGATGAATCAGACAGTTCAAATTTCAGTAGCTACCAAAACCAAAGGCTACTACCATTGACTCCAGCCCTGCCTCGTATGTGGGCTACTCAAAAATGCTGCTAAAAACAAGTATATGAAAATCAAATATAATCTCTAGCAGTGTGATTCCTCAGCTCTGACATAGCCATAAAAGTCTGGTGCTGATTCTGAGCTGTCTCCATCAAGAGAAAGACACAGGTCCTTGCAGGACCGACTCATCCCTTCCTTCAGAAATTTGTGACTAGGACAGCAGAGATTACTTTCTCCAGGTGCCTGTCCCTCTCCCTTGCCTGTGAGGGCACTCTTAAAGCCCCTTTGACATTGGTACAGCTGGCTGAGGCAAAATATTCACCTCAAAGCAATTCAGAACCCTGGGTCCCACTTCCTTGTCAGAATCCTGATGTGTCACGTAGAAATATCCATAAACATGGTCTTGTCTCTGTTTTGCAGATCTTTGAAAGCCCCCTTGCTGAAGTCTGCAGAGTGCCTCCACCACCCCTGCCACGGGCTCAGGACATGCTCCCAGAGCTGTGGAGTGTGACAATGGTGTTTGTGTCCAGTCTATCAAACGCCATTATCACACTAAATAGCTACTGGCAGACAAGGCATCAGGTCAGGAAGGTCTGGGACCTCTGGCACTGCATCTGCCCACTGTGCTGAGGAATAAAGAGCCTGGGTGCATGTACAGCTTGAGATTTTCTTTTTCCTGTTGGACTAACCAGGACAATAGAAAACTGAAGCCAATTAGCTGATGAAGTGAAACTCCGGCTCTTACTTTGGTACCAAATCACAACATAGGTTTGGAATATTGACTGAGGTGCTCATGACAACCTTCAAACACTTTCCAAAATTCTGATTAAAATTTATTGCCTCTAACTTGAAACATCATTTATCCAGGTTCCACATGCTTCCAGCTTTGCTCCCTTCCATGTCACAATGATTTGAGCACCACACCCAAGCCCACTGCCCTTATGTTCTAAACCTTCTCTTTTGGGAATGGCCACTGTTTCCCCACAGAAATTCTTCTAAAAACTGTTATAAAGAATAGAGATTATCTACAGGAACCTCCAAAGGCCTAATGAAAGCCAGGCACCAGCACTGCACTGAGGAGCCTAAATCCCACTGAATAATCCAAGATTTAGGCTCACAGGCTGTTGTGCTCTGATTTGCAATGGGAGGCACCAAATGCCTCTCCAGTGTGTATCTGTGGAACAGGAACATGGCTCAGTGCTGAGCTTTTAGCTGTGCAAAAAGGAAAAGGTGTCAGGTCCTTAGTGAGCAGGTGGAAGGGGAGGGCTGGGCTGATCCACAGCACAAGGCCAGGCCCTGTCCCTTGTCTGCAGGGAGCAGATAAACAGATTGCAAAGACTGATGCAGTGGGCCAGATCCAAAAACTCTGGCCCAGACTGGGCACCTGTAAGCCACTAATCATCAATGCTACCCAGTGACATTGCTCTGCCACCACTGCAAAACAAGCATGGTTATTTCAGAGGGAGCTGCTTGGCCACATGCAGACTCCAAACCTGTTCTACAACAGGAGAGGTGCAAGCACAACAGTACTGTAACATCAGGGTGCAGACTCAAGGAAGCTTGCACGGAAAGCAAGGAATTCAATGGAGAATCACAGAAGTTGCCCACCTTCAAGCTGATGATGTGGCTTTGTGAGGACCCTAAAGGTGCTAATCTGGGGGGGGCAGGAGCAGAATTAGAAGACAATCATGAATGGCTTTGTTTTTTAATACAAGATATGTAAGTGGGAGAAAAAAATTACAAGAGTAGAATCATAGTAGGATTATAATATGCAAAAATCTGGGAAAGAAAACAATTTTTCTATAGCAGCCTGAGCAATAATACTGTGCAAAACTTGTACTAAGTGGCATCTTAAATATATTGATGTTTCCATAGCAGTTGAACCCACAGGGCCACGGGTACAGACACAGAGAAGGGAAGATGTTCTTCAGTGAGCTGTGCTGCACTCAGAATGTGGAGATACCAATCCACAGAACGGCTCTAAAATAACCCAGAGATGGCCTAGTTTGTCTTCAAAATCTTGCCCCAGTGTTAAATCTCAGGAACCAAGAGCACAGAATCAGCTCCTTCCTTTGTTGCTGACATCAGCATCAGGGTGACTCCAAAACAACGTCAAAAGGCAAAAGACCAGAGTTACCCCCTGAGGTCACTGGTGCCTCTCACCGTTCCACGTCCTCGAGAGCAGTCTCACAAGGTGGGACACTGTGACTCAGTGCTCTGAAGAAATGAAGTCTCTGTGTTCTCTGGCCTTCTTGGGCACCATTTTCTTTACAGTCGATGAGTTGGGCAGGTTTTTGCTTTTTGTGGATGTTGCTTTCCTCTGTTTTTGATGAGTGGTTCGGAGAGATTTCAGCCCCAGCATCTCACAGTACTCATTGCACTGGTGCAGGGCTCTGAACTGCTCAATGAAGGAAAACGAGCAGTTGCCTTTAAACCCTTTGTATCTGTAGCAACAAAGAAAAAAACAGCCAAATGGGATTTCAAGATTCATTTTCAGCACAGGGAGGCAGAGCATGGTTTCTGACTCACAAGCAACCTGAAAACCTTAAGCAAGTGTCCTCCACCCAAGCTGGCTCAAGAAGCACTGACTGTCACAAAAACTCAAACTGAGCCTGTGAGAGGTGAAGGGAACTGGGTTACAAGCAGTGACAGAAGAGGGAAAAGCATTACAGAGGCAAAGCTCTGTGGGCTGGGTCCTGGCTACTGTTCCTCATTACATTTAGTTGGGAATACAATTGTCTGCTGGTTATTTTTGTCTCAGTAACACACACATGAAATCCATGCTACATCATTCTCTGGGCACAGTTCTGCTGACCCCCATGAAGAGATAAGGTTGTTGCACGAGGTGTTATCAGAACCAGAAGCTATTTACATCCAAACAGGTACATAACTTCCAAGCTAAGCTCCTCCCTTCCCCTGGCTGCCTGCAGGATCTCCAGGAGCCAAGCCTCAGCGTGGCAATCTCTTCCATCCAGCACCAAGCCCAGCTCCAGAACAGCCCGAGCAGAGCAGGCATTGCCAGCAGAGAGCAATGGCTTTTATTCATTTGCCATGAGTGTTCAATGAACCACTGGGCCTTTCCAGTCCGTGCCAGCCCCTTGCCCTGCCCTGGAGTGTCACTGCTGGTCACAGCAGCACAGCTGAGGGCTCTGTGCAGCCTTGGGGCAGATCTGCTCCCTCTGCTCCCTGAAACCCCCCATGCCTGCTGCAGGACCAACCAGAGGATTCATCTCTCCTGCACTGTGCAGGAATATTACTGAGCAGTGACCTTCAGGCCTATCCATCAGGTGAGGAGTGTCAGTGCTCTGTGACTGTGTTCATTTGGGGCTACACAATTACCACACTTTCCCTCTCTTTTTTCCCTAAGTAACCATTTTGTTGTGGCTTAAGGAAATTTCTTCTTATGTTTTTCTCATGCTATATAATTCTGATAATACTCATTTCTTTGTGGAAATATCTTGAAGAGAAAGTTGAGCAACAACAAATCCACTTTTCTTATGAAGTAAATAAAAGCCTGTCTAAACAGCTTTGCTATTTGTGTTTGGAACTTGTCAATTCCTGGGTGTCTTTGAAGGAACATCTGCACAAAGAGCAGAAACAATAACACTTGCTCAGACACTTTAAATGCATAATTGAATGGTTTGCTAACTAACTTTAGCTTTAGAATTCAACAAATGCCAAAAATATTTGCAGTATAAGTAAGAGCATGAGTATCTTGCAAACAAGAGACAGAACATTTACATTAAAATCACATGATTATTTTGATTTACTAGCTTTGCTCCTAAATCAAGCCACCCTCATTTCCCTTCTCTGAAATAACTGGTTTGCTGTGCCCCAGGTAAGGCTCCTTGTCCGTGTGGGACCTGTGAGGCACAGGTGAGCCTGCTTTTGCTCTGCAGTGTGCAGACAGCCCCAGGGCTCACAGCAGGCCATGGCAGAACTAAGCTACAGATGTGAGACCACAGGTTTGCACAAGTTCTCCAGCTCTATGCTGTTTGTTAGGCACTGCTCCCCCCAGCCCCATGTGCTCCCAGACACAGTGTTTGCTCTGCACAGCTCCAGTGACCCTGGCTCTGCTCAGTGTGGCAGGGCCTGGGATCTCCACTCAAACCAGGCAGTGCTGTTATACCTGTGGGGTGTGACTGGGGAAGATCCACTCATGGAGAGCCTCCATGGCTTCTGAACTGCACAGCCTGCCCCACCCTCTGAGGGCTCATGCTCAGAACACCGAACATGGACCACTCCCAGCCTGACCACCACAAGGGTTCTTTGCACAGCACTTCTCATCACCCACAGCTGACTCAGAAACAAAAGCCCCAGAGAAGTTCAGCTTCCAGACTCGACAGCTGGGGTTTGGCCCAAACCAGATTTTCCTTAAATCTGAAGGGGGAATGTTGTATTTGCTCCCAGGCTCTGGGGGACAAATGCCTCTGTTGCCATGTGCAGTAAAGCTAAACTCGTCAGTGACCCAGAAGCAGGCAGAGTTTCAGATCCACACCTGGCAACCAGCACTGCTGGTTGGGTCACTGTGCTCCTGATTCCCTCCTTTGTGTGCACCATTCTTGGATAAATCCCCGAGCACTCGTGTACAGTTCTAATCTGGCTCACCGCGTGCACTTAGAGCCAGGCACTCTGCTGGATTATTTTTGTTTATGTTCGCCAAAGAAGCCACCGAATGGCTGATTTTAAGGCTCGGCTGCCTGGCTCTGGTGCACCCCAGTGGCCACATTAAAAATGCTTCCCAGGCGTTCCGGTTCCTAGCTCGGCTTCGCCCTCTGCTGACACGAGCATTGGCTACACGACTCTGCTTTGGGCTCCTTTGGTTTCCAGATCCCTGGGAGAACACACACAGTAAGGACAAACAATCAGAATTCGTTTGAAGAGTGTTAATTCCTGACACAGTCCAGGAGTATAAAACCAATCAGTTGTGTATCATCTCTAACAGCACAGCTCGAGCCACACCAGTCCCACACTCCCTTTGTGTCTCAGTAGGACCATGTGCCCTCCTGCCACAGGAGCCAGACCAGCCCTTCTCTCATGCAGTCCTTGCATCATCTCTTTAAATTCTCCACAAAAAGGGCAACACAAACCTTGGCCCCCTTTGGGGCAGCTCCTTCCCAAGCTCCTGCAGCGCTGTGGTTGCCTCAGCCCCTGGCAGCAGGATGCAGCCCCAGGGTGTGGAGGTGGAAGCACTTGTGTTTGCCAGGGCTGCGCAGTGTGAGCCCAGCTGAGCTCAGGCCCCAGAGCTGTTCCTGCTGGGCAGCACAAGCACCAGCCTTGCCTTGTGCCCTGGCCCTGTGTGTTCAGCCCCACCTTCCTCAAGCTGAAGGCACACCACAGCCTCCCCTGCTGTCCCCAGAGCCCTCCGTGTCACCCGTGAAATGCCCTGTGATGCATTCTGATGGCCTATTTCAAGAGAGGCACGAAGAAAAAGCAAGGCCCAATCCACAGTGTAGCCCCACCCTTTTAGCACAAAATAAAGGTGTTTCCATTACAGGTGGGTCTCCATAACTATGAACAAAAAGAAGTTAAAGACCAGATGAGGATTGTTTTCTCCTAGGTTTAAAACAAGACTAAATTTCCAGTGCACCCTCCACACCCCCGTTTAACTGTGAAGAGACAGGTGTGTAAAGCACAGCCCCATGCTGAGAACTCCCATTTCACTCACCCTTTGGCCAGGGTTGCTATGCCAACATCGGTTAACTTCATCCCCACACCTACAGGGCAGAAGGAAACACACAGCTCAGGTTACACTGGAATTTCTGGGAATATCTTCAGATACGGAGGCAGCAAATATTACTTATGGATTCACCTTTTCCATTTTAATTATTTGCCACATTTTTTCCAAAGCATTTTAAGTGCCCCAATTGAAAACAGGATGCTTATGCTCTGTGTCACCAGCAGTTTCTAGAAGTCAGGTTCATACCACTATTTTATGGCTGTCAGGGTGATAAACAGAGCACAGCTTGTTTCCTGTGCTAAGATTTTGTTCTTTCTTCTCCCTTTAAATTACTTCAGGGATCTCGTTTAGATGCCTTGCTGCTAATTTTCCTGCCTTCTCTTGTAAAAGAATATGGGATATTTTCTAAGATTCCAAGTTTTTCTGGTTAAGAAGGGCCTGTCTTCCCCAGTCCCAAGTACTTCTGTGCACACTGTGCAGGTGTGCACACCCTCAGGAGCTGAGGGAGGATTTAGCAAACACAAGCAGGGCGTTTCTTTTTCAGGGAACATGTTTTTTCAAACCTAGTCAGGACCTGAGTGTGGAGCATTCCACTGCTCAGTGATTGTTGGTGAGTAAATATAAGAAAAAGGGAAGGACTGGGTTGTCATTAACACCTGAAGGCTTTCACTCACAAGCTATTTCCTTAAGCTCTGGGTGGTGAGCCAAAAATCCAGATTTGACTCATATTGAGTGTCCTGATTCATTAAGGGCACACATGGAAGAACAACTCTCCCCTTAAGAGTATAAGATTTGTTTTTCTCTTCAAAACTGTCTTCTTACAAGAATGTAAAGCAGGTAAAAATTGCTCCTCCTCAGGTAACTCACCTTGCAGGTCAGTGACAAGCA